TTTCTGTGAGGAAGAAGGCTTTGAAGAAAGAGGAAGGACCCGTGAGGTGACTGCCAGTCTCAGCAAGAGGTGACAGTGGCTTGGGCCTGGGTTTGGGCTTGGGCAGTGCAGTGAGGAATGGAGAAGATCATACTGAGGGTAAAGAAAAGACTAGAGAATGGGACTGACTATGAGGATGAGGGGAGAGAAGACTCAGGGGTGCCTCTGACGTTCCTACCCCCGAGCAGCGGGTCAGCAATGGCCCCATCTTTCTGACGGACCAGGGTGGTTTAGGTGCAATGTGGGGAGGAGAGCCTGGCTGGAGTTTGGGAGAGAATGAAACGTGGAAAACAGCAAACAGTGAATATAGACACCTCTTTCAAGGGTGTGCATGTATAGATCATAAAAACAGGCCGCAGCTGAAGGGGCCTGTGGAGAAAGCAAGGGTTTGTTTTTGTTCTAAGTTGGGGGGTATTGCAGTGTGTGTATTCCCGTATGTGATGATGGACAGGAGGAAGGGAAAGCGTCTGAGAGATGCCTTGCCCCAGGGGCTGAGGAGGCCAATGGGTCTCCTTCCTTCCAACCCTGTTTCCAGACAGGAGCATGTCCCTTGTTGTCCCTTATTCTGGGACAGATACTCCCAAAGGCCCTGCTCCTGTCTGACATCTCTTTAGACTCCCCCCCACATACATGCTACTCGCTCCGCTTTCTTCGCTGGATGTAATTTCTTGGTTGTTGGCCATAACCAACCTGGCCTGTCCGCTTCCCATCCTGCGTGGGTGGTCTGGCCATCATCGCCTTTCCAGCTCCTGTTTGCTTCCTCCCCACCTCCCAGGGCCCGGCCAGCACATCCCAGCCCCGCCCAGGAGTGCACACTGGCAGGAGAAGCAATTAACACTGACATTTCTGCCAGCAGGAAGTTCTCATAATTAAAACTTACTTTGCAAGGTCTCAGGAGTCTAAATAACCCGAAGGGGGAAAGAGGGCTAGCATCCTGTCAGGAAATGCAATCTGTAGAAATAAACTCGTGATGTAGGCCTAAAATTTTTTATTCTAGAGCCCAATTATCAGATTTAAATATTTCTGTTGATTAAAACAAAAATAAGCCGAAACAAGTTTGGCTCAGTGGATAGAGCCTCGGCCTGTGGACTGAAGGATTCCAGTTTTGATTCCAGTCAAGGGCATGTACCTTGGTTGCAGGCACATCCCCAGTAGGAGGTGGAGGCAGCTGATCAATGTTTCTCTCTCATTGGTGTTTCTAACTTTCTATCCCTCTCCCTTCCTCTCTGTAAAAAAAAATCAATAAAATATATACTTTTTAAAAAAATAAATAAGCTTGCTGTCGTAATTAAGAGCTCTTGGTATATTCAGAAAGTCTCTAAAAGCAGCAACAATGCGATCAGCCATGTAATCAAAAGTCAGTTCTCACCTAATCATTTTTCTAAGCTTAGCAAATACAGGTCTTAATACGGACAGTAACCATCCATTCAAGGAAGAAACAATTGTTTTGATCATACAAAGCTCAACACCAGTGCAGAAGACTACACTAGAGAACATTAACTGATGGACAGTTGTCATATTTACTCATATTAAACCTTAGAAGACCTAGCGAGTTTTCAGTATCATTATTGTATCAGCAAGTGTAGAGATGACAGCTTTCTAAACCCAGATAATGAGCCCACAGTTACATCCAACACAATCCAGATGTTTCTGAAACCAAACAGCGCTGACATTAGCTAGCATTTAGACTCCTAACACAACAATAAGTTGAACTTGACTCACCCAGAAAAAGGACAAATGGTGAATAAATATGACAGGTCTATTCGTTTTTATACATGCAAGCAGACAAAATTATCCACAGGGGAGAAGAGATGTTTATCTATTCCACATTAACAACTCTTGTGTTTAGAATGAGAAAGTATAGCGACTCTCCCAGTTTGCCTCTGTCTCTCTCAGCACACACACACACATACAACACATACATACAACACACACACACAACACATACACACATGTCACTGAAAACACTCTTACTGACAGTCCAACCCATGAAGAGTTGCTAAGCGGTTTCTCTGAGGCCGCGAGCTTACCCACACTAACCGTGTACCTTGCTGTTTTTGACTTCCTGACGTGAACTCCTCCACGCAACCGCCACCAGTGCTCACTTTCCATTTTTAAAACTGCTGACAAGTAAGTCCCTCAACACCAGTGAGCGCCTCTATGGCCCAAGAGAGGAGCCAGCTCGACAGACTGGTTCCAGGACCTTGTGGAGAAAAATGCAAGCTCAGGTGGCTGTCCCCGACAGAAAATGACCCTGTGAGGTCAATGATTTCATCCTGCATCCCAGAGAGCTTGCATAGCGGGGCCACTGCTTTAGGAGGCACACACCCAACTTATCTGGCTCCTGAGACCAGCCCAGGCCTGTAGGCAGAGTCCCTCCTGCTGAGACAATTCGGGGGGAACATCTTAGGGGCATTAAAGAACACTATTCGGTTGCCATTCCAAGGGGCCATATGAACAGCGGGTAGCACATCACACGTGGAGATTACACTCAGACCCAGAAGACGAACAAAAAGCAAGTGAAGGAAGGATGAGGGCACTCAGCTTGCACAAAAATGAAATTTTTCACAGAAGGGTTATTTGATGGGCATTCAGACCACAGTTCTGTGAATTTGGACAAAAACAAGGTTACCTGACTGAGTGGTCAAGGTAGTTCTCATTTCACCAGAGAATTAGCTTGACTCGCTCATGGCTTCATTCTCCTGGGGCAGTGGTCAGCAAACTCATTAGCCAACAGAGCCAAATATCAACAGTACAACGACTGACATTTCCTTTGAGAGCCCAATTTCTTAAACTTCAACTTCTTCTAATGCCACTTCTTCAAAATAGACTCGCCCAGGCCGTGGTATTTTGTGGAATATTCACACCTAAGGGGTCAAAGAGCTGCATGTGGCTCGCGATTTGCCAACCACTGTCCTGGGGGAACAGTTTATGATAGATGAATGCGTGGGGATGGTGTTTCCAGGCTGGGTCTACAGCCATGGAAATGAGAGGAAACAGGCTAAAAAAGTAAATCATAACAATATGGCTCATCAAGATCACCCTCTCCATCCACGATTGCTTTACCTGCAGCAATCCGGCTTTGAGTGCTGATCCACAATCTCCACCTTAACTTCAGAGTTATGCTCATGTCATAGCAATGATGGCAGCTGCCACTGACGGAATCCTCACTGCTTCCCAGGCAGCAGGATATGTCTGCATTCGTTCATTCATCCTACCAACATGTCATGAGCGTCTACCATGTGACAGAGCTGTTCTAGGTTTCGGGGTACAATCTGAATAGAACAAAGTTCCTCCTGTCCTAAAACTTTCTTCCCAGTAAGAGAAAGGAACCGGAAGACTAAATACAGATGGTCCCAGATGGTGGCCAGGACAGTGAAGAAGAGAGTGGGTAAGTATGCTATCCTAAAGCCTCCAGGAGCACACTTCTGGTTCAGGAACGCGGTGGGCCTTCGGACTCATGGCAACAGGGAGCACACACACCCCTGGGACCCAGGCACCTAAGAAGAGGGTGTTCAAGACACTTACTGCATTACCTGAGCTGTGTTCTGTGATTAGGGGAAGGGATTAAAAAAAAAATAAATCAGGATTTTGCTCTGAATCGCGTACTGTCAGGAAGAGGGAGTGACTATGACTGGGCATCATAGTGACTCTTAACTAGAAGGCAGGACGGATGAAGCGAGACAGTCACTCCCAGCAGCCAGAAGGGGGAGACGTGGCCATGTCTGTGGTCTGAGGATCAAGTTTCTATCTGCATCTGGACATGATTAGCAAGGGGTCCTGCATTTGTCTTAACCTGGCTGTCGGCAAAATGAGGCTCTCGAGCCACATGCGGCTCTTTGGCCCCTTGAGTGTGGCTCTTCCACAAAATACCACCGGTGAGGGTGCACATACGGTGCGACTGAAACTTCGGGGCCCATGCGCAGAAGTCGGTTTTCGGCCTGGGTGAGTATATTTTGAGGAAGTGGCGTTAGAACACTCAAGAGGCCAAATAGCCGCATGTGGCTCATGAGCTGTGGTTTGCCGACCATTGTTTTACCCCATCATGGTCAGGGTGGCCTTCGCTGATGGAGATGTTCTGTGAACTGTTTGTTTCAGTGGGAGAGCACACTGTCCCCCGGGGGTGCCCGGCCGGCTGCCAGCTGTCAGGGTTGTTTCTCTCTCTCCTGCACTCAGTCCTCCTTCCACTTTCCACGCCAGGTACTGCTGTGTCATTTCTCTTTGAAAAATGAGAAACGAAGGCCCAGAGAGGGGAAGGACTCACCCTAGAGCAAGCAACTACGAAAGCCAGGATTTGCTGAAACCGGTTTGGCTCAGTGGATAGAGCATCGGCCTGCGGACTGAAGGGTCCCGGGTTTGATTCCGGTCAAGGACATGTACCTTGGCTGCGGGGACATCCCCGGTGGGGGGTGTGCAAGAGGCTGCCGATCGACGTTTCTAACTCTCTATCCCTCTCTCTTCCTCTCTGTAAAAAAATCAATAAAATATATATTATTTTAAAAAGCCAGGATTCTAAGTAGGTTGTCTGGTGAAACCTATCAAATCTTACTAACCAATGCCACCCCGATAAATTTAACTTTTTTTAAAAAAGGAAAGAATTTTTTAAAAAGTCCGTTATCTGACTCCAAGACCAACCAGCCTCTTATCCGCTCTACCCCAGGTCCCAGAATATGAGCCTTTTGAACTCTTGCGGCAGGAAGTTACCTCCAAAAGGCTCAGGGGTGGTTTCAGCGGGAGAGAGGACACCAAGCCTGCAGCGCAAACGGCTGCCAGCAGACACCCCAATGCCCACGCCGGAATTCACGCACAAGTCCACCCCCTCAGTCCACCTGACAGGGATGAGGAAACATATCCCATTTTATTTACATTGGAAGGTTTCTTTTTCAAGAACCTCATCAAAACCCATCCGTGTCAGCACCTTATGAACTGCAACCTGGGTCTCACACCCTGGCACACGTAGGTTAGAACCGCCTAGAGGCGCTGTTCTGGCCGTCAGGGCGACAGCCCGGAGGCAGCAGAGACAGGCTTACCAGCAGGTTTTCCGGCTTGAGGTCCCGGTGCACGATGTTCTTGTCGTGCATGTGCACGAGGGCCTTGCACAGGTCCGTGAGCATGAGGGCGGCGGCGTGCTCCGGGAACTTCACGTGCTCGATGATGGCGTCAAACAGGTCCCCGCCCTGCACGTACTCCATGATCAGGTAGATCTCCGCGTCCGTCTCGTACACTTCGTGCAGCTTCACTATGTTGGGGTGAGAGAGGCTCTGGATAATCAAGATCTCGCTGTCCACCATGTCCTCCTTGCCCTTGAGCTTGGCCTTGTCGATGATCTTCATGGCGTAGGCCTGCCCGGTCTCCCGGTGCCGGCACTCCTTCACCACGGCGAAGTTGCCGTCCCCGATGGCGCGGCCCGGCTCGTACTGCTTCTCCACGCTGGCCGAGATGATGCCCGCGGGCCGCCGCCTCCGGCCGCCGGGCCTCTCGGGCTTGCTCTCTTCTGCCCGCATCCTGGGCTCCTTTTCTACCCTGGCGGGCTGGTCATCTCTGGGAAGCATCTTCCTCCCGCCTGACACGGGTGGCTTCTTCTCTTTCTCTGCCTCCTGCTCCTCCCCCCGGGTCCTGGGGGGCTTCTCGGGGTTGGCTTGGGGCTCCCTGAGGATCCAGCCACCGTGCTTACTCCTGGCGTCTTTCTTCCCATCCCTCGGCCCCTCCTCTCGGACAGGCTGGGCTTCCGCGACAGTGACGTCCTTCTTAGCCTTGGCTGCTCCTTGCGGCTGATCTTCCTGACCTTTGGGATCTGTATCCTCTTTCTTGTCCGGGTTCTTGCTGGGTCTCGGCTCCTGAGTGGGGTTCCTGGGCCTGCTCCTGTGGCCGTCACCCTTCCACCCGTCCTCCCCGCCCGGAGGGTGGGTCTCGGGGGACCTCCTGCAGCTCCTGGTCCTCACCAGCTTGTCCACGTCGTGGTGCGGGCCCTTGCCCAGGTCCAGCTGGCTGGTGCCCAGGCACAGCCTCTCCCTCTGCAGGCCCTGCCGGAGCTCCCGCTCCCGCTTGCACTTCTCGCACCGGATGATCTCCCCCGAGGTCTTCTCGATCTCCACGCCCAGGTGCTTCTCCCCGCTGGCGAGCCTCTCCACGGTGGGCTTGCCGCAGGGCTCGGACTCCCGGGTGCCCCTCACCCATGTCTTCTGGGCCCTCGCCCCGTCCTCCAGCCCGGGCTCCACGGGGGTCTTCCCCGGCCGGGCGATGGCTGCCTTGGACCCGGCGGCCTCCCCGCAGCTCTTGGCCGGCTCGGCCTCCCCCCCACAGGGGGGCCCCCCTTTCAGAGTCTTGCTGTAGAGCCTGCTCCTGAGCCTCGGAGAAGGGACCCTGCTCTGCTGGCCCAGCGTCAGGGCCCGGGCTCTGCCGGGATACAGCTCTTCCATGGCCGCCTGGATGTTCTTCAAGGTCAAGGGCTCCTTGCCCATGGCAATGAAGGCGTCCCCCTCCCGGAAGAAGTCGGAGACGCTGCGGATCTCCCTGCCCTTGAGGTTGAACAGCTTCCGCACGCGGTCGCTCTTCCACCGCGGGAAGCCCAGGGCCTCCGACACGTCGGCCAGGAGCTGCTCGAAGGTCTGCACGGAGCGCCTGTTGAGGAGCAGGGTGACCTTGCGCAGGGGGTGCCCGCCCGGCTTCACCACCGTCACCACCCGGGGCCGCAGGGCACTGCTCTCGGCGTGGACGCAGTGCAGGCCGTGCTGGGGGCCGAACACGGGCACCAGGGAGCCTCGGGGGCCCGGGCACGGCCTCTCCACGTGCCCCCGGCCGGCGGGCAGCCATGGGCCCTGCAGCTTCCGCTCCATGAGTCTCGAGCTCAGGTATCTTAGCGAGTGGTCACACAGGCCTCGATGTCCTGCAGAGGGAAGGAACAATGCAGTGTTAGCCAATGTGGGTTCCAGGAGCCCTTTGACCTTCAGCAGGCTCTCCTAGAGGTCACTGATTCTAAGGGTGACCTTAGAGGATCTGCTTGAAAGGATGGGGCCTGTGTACGTTAGGTCTAATCGCTGCCTCTGCTGCGAGAGGCCATGAGTGTGGAACAGAATCTGCATTGAGCCTGAGGTGGCCCCTGTATGCCTCCCAGGGACCCCCTCTCCTCCAGGTTGGACCACCCCTCAGGAGCCCATTCTAGGCAAGGCCTGACCCTGAGAACACAACGCCTGCTCCTCTAAAGCGGGGTAACCTTCAAGGATCCCCAACGGAGATAAAAGGTCCGAGGTTTGCTCCCCAGGAAATACCAACCAGAGGTCAGAACATTCTGGAACTTTAAAGAACCTTACTCTTGCCAAAACCAGTTTGGCTCAGGGGATAGAGTGTCGGCCTGCAGACTGAAAGGTCCCAGGTTCGATTCCAGTCAAGGGCATGTACCTTAGTTGTTAACCAGTAGGGGGTGTGCAGGAGGCAGCTGACCTATGTTTCTAATTATCCCTCTCCCTTTCTCTCTGTAAAAAATCAATAAAATGTATTATTTTTTTTAAAGTTCCTTAATCTCACCCACCTCAACTTTTCTCAGCTTGACTTTCAACCCACTCATGGCAAGGCAGTCTGTGAAGAGGTTATGTCACAGTCTGAGACAGATCTGGCTTTGAATCTTGGCATGGCTACTGACTGTGTGTGTGTGTGTGAACTTGGGCAAAGTACTAACATTTCACTCTTTTCATCTATGAAGTCGGGATGCTAACATTCTCCTCCCAGGACTATTTTGAAGAATAAGTAACAAAATGAATACAATTTACTTAGAGGACTTAACACACAGGGCACAGTAACTGGCTGCTACTAATCCTGTCCACACTATCTCAATGATCTAATTGTATGATCACTTCATTGGTAGTAACGTCATCTATTGAGAAGGTAGAATCCCACTGGGCACAGCTTCACCTGGCCTCACAGAGCTTGTAGACCCGTGGTCGGCAAACTGCAGCTCACTAGCCACTTGTGGCTTTTTGGCCCCTTGAGTGTGGCTCTTCCACAAAATACCACAGCCTGGGCGAGTCTATTTTGAAGAAGTGGCGTTAGAAGAAGTTTAAGTTTTAAAAATGTGGCTCTCAAAAGAAATTTCCATCATTGTACTGTTGATATTGGCTCTGTTGACTAATGAGTTTGCCAACCACTGTCTTAGACAAACAACAGGGTGGGTATTTAAAGCTCTGATTGAGATTTTTCTTGCTTTGGAGGGATTAAAAAAATTGACAATTTCAGTCTACATTAGAAAGTTCTCCTCCAAAAGGTTTTTTCTCTCGTTATTAAAAAAAAAAAAAAAAAGGCGGGAGGACAAAGAAACCAAGATTGTTTAATGTTCAGAGCCTTTTGTTCATTCTCACTGTATTTCCAGATAAACTGAATAAATGGATAAACCAAGACTGTGTTTCCTGATCACCTGTCCCAGCCAGCATAAACGAGAGGAGACAAAAGGCGGTCTGATTTCCATTCCTCTCCAGGTCAGGAAAGGAAACAGGGAAATGACCAAATGTGTAGAGCAGTTCAACCATGAGGGTGGGCGGGGAGTTACTCAAGTGTCCCCACAGGATCCCTATGTCCTGTCCTACGTGTAGGAACCTGCCGTCTGCGCCTCCTTGAAAAAGAAGTTACAAGTGACTTTGAAGAGCATTTGAGTTGTCGCAAAGACTCCCGTGGGGCCAGAATGGGCAATCTGACCGAGCATATTTACCCAGAACTTTTTGTTTGTTTGTTTTTTAATTATAACATCCAATCTGTTCTGCGATGATTTCCATCTAGACACAGGTAGGTGTCAGGGTGGATGACAAGTGGTGGCTGATACTGATCTTCCCACGTGCCACAGATTTATGAGCTTAACCATCACGCTGACAGCGGCGCTATTCATGGGCATCTGCTATCCCCCTTCTCTCGCGCTGTCATCTGCCTCTGTAGTTGTCGGAGAGATCTGGTGCTGAGAGAGGGGGCAGCAGGAGTAACACTAGTGTGTGCTTCCTCAATGGAAACATTGGAGGATGCCAAGGAAGGTGACCTTCCAAAGTATGTGCACAGAGGAACCAGTGTTCTCTTTTGGTTTTTTTGGTTGTTTTTTGTTTTGTCTTGTTTTGTTTTTATAAAGTATTCACCTCCTTTTTTTATAATATATTTTATTGGTGTGGTGTTTTTTTTTTTACAGAGAGGAAGAGAGAGGGATAGAGAGTTAGAAACATCGATGAGAGAGAGTCATCAATCAGCTGCCTCTTGCACACCCCCTGCTGGGGATGTGCCTGCAACCAAGGTATTAGGTCTAGTAATAATTAATGTCGTTTTCTAATACTTTTTAAAAATTGAATTTATTTAAACAATACAACAAAATTTAATCAACAATATAGTTGCCGTTGTTTTCTACTACTTGTGCCCAACGCTCAGGAAGCATTTTAATCCCTCTGTTGTAAAATTCTTGTGATTTTGATGCAAAAAATTCGGTCAATGCATTTTTGAGGCATTCTTCATTATTAAATTTTTTTCCAAGAAGAAAGTTTTGCAAAGAACGAAACAAATGGTAATCGGAAGGGGCAATATCAGGAGAATATGCAGGTTGAGGGAGAACTTCCCATTCCAACTGGCGCAGTTTTTCAGCAGTGATTCTTGCAGTATGCGGTCGTGCGTTATCGTGGTGAAGAATTACGCCCTTCCGATTAATCAGCGCGGGTTCTTTTTCTCTTAAAGCTTGGGCTAACCTTTCCAATTGGGCACTATACACTGCACTTGTAATGGTTTGGTTAGATGGTAAAAGTTCATAATGAAGAATTCCTTTAAAATTCCACCAAACACACAACATCACTTTTTTCGCATGCAAGTCAGGTTTTGGTGTGGGCTGCGGAGCCTCATTTTTGTCCAACCATTGAGGCCGCCTTTTCAAATTAACATACAGCACCCATTTTTCATCTCCGGTAACAATTTGCTCTAAAAACGGCAAACGGTTTTGACGAGAGAGGAGCAAACTGCAAATTGTGACTCTTTGATTACGGTTGTTGTCGGTCAACTCATGAGGAACCCATTTTCCAAACTTTTGGACTTTGCCAAGTGCACGCAATTGATTGGAAATTGTTTTTCGTGGACAATTTAAAGTTGTCGCAAGCTCTTGTTGGGTAATTTGCACCAAAAGAGCTTGAAGAGCTTCTTGATCAAAATTGGACACACGGCCTCGACCACTCTTGTCATCTAACGAAAAATTTCCTTCGCGAAATTTCTCAAACCAACGCTGGCATTTTCTGGCGCTAACTGCATCTTGACCAAGAGCACTACAGATGTTTTTTGCAGCCTCACTTGCTTTTCTTTCTAATTGGAACTCATAAAGCATGCAGTGCCGAATATGCTCTTCATCCGCCATCTTCTTAGCCCTAGTTTTGCAACAAAAACCAAACCAAACACAAACTTTTTCAAGCAAAACTTGTTAATTGCACTTCACACGTTCTGTAGATACCACGTGTTTGAAGGTTATGTCAATACAAGTCAACGCCAAGCAAGATTTTAAACGAATGTTTTAAAACGACATTAATTAGTACTAGACCCAATACATGCCCTTGACCAGAATCGAACCTGGGACCTTTCAGTCCACAGGCTGACGCTCTATCCACTGAGCCAAACCAGCTTTGGCCATGTGTTCTCATTTGTTATTCCCATGGTGCTTCTCAGAGGAAAACCCTCAACACAGCCTGGCATGTGGCTCAGTGGTTGAGCATCGACCTAGGATTCAGAAGGTCATGGTTCAATTCCCGGTCAGGGCACATGCACAGGGTTCAGGGTGGATGACAGGGAGCAGTGTTTCAAAAGCCTGTGGGAGGCGCTGGGACCTGGGTGATGAGGTACAACAGAGTGAGCCACACAGGCTACAGGCCCCAGGGAGGAGGGGGCAATGTGGGCCCCTGACCACACACTGACAGCCAGGGAACAGCAAGGGGAGGGGCAGTGAGGAGTGACAGAATGACCAAGCAAGAACAGGAGCCACTGCACCTGAGCACAGGTGACATCCTGCCGCCGGTGAGGTCCCGGGGGAGCAGTGCAGCCACCGGGACTCCAAGCCGAACATGAATATTAACGCGGCCTCACTTGCTCCAAGGACTGCCAAGTCCTCGGACATCCAAGGCCCACGCAATCACAGTTCTCCCTGACGGCTTTCCTCCAACGGACCCTGCTTCCCACTTCCGATCACTCAGCCACACGAAGCCTCTATGCCCCCCTCTTGCCCGCGTCCATGTGCCACTGTGGGGAGCTTCTCCAGACGCCGCTCTGGCCCCGGCATTGTCCTCCGGGACACCTGATGCCGGTCCTCTCTGCCCAAAGCTTCCCGGGGGGCAGCTTCTCTTGCTGTCTCACCCCGGGGTTTACTGTTTCCTCCCCACACTCCCAGCTCACCCACGACCTCACTCCTGGGGAGCCGCCGCTCCCTCAGTAAAATTCCAAGCGGGCAGGGCTCCCGGCTGGCTACAGCTTCCCATGCCCTGGATTTTCAATCCCAGCTGCCCGTGGCGGCTCCGGGATTCACAAGAACCTTGACTGAGGCTGAGCTTTGCTTTTCCCGGCGCTGTCCAGGTTGGCTCTTTGGCCCCGCTCCTTCAGAAGGGGCGGTGAGGACACCCACCTGGGGCCAGTCTGCAGCGGATGGATGCCCGGAAAACTTCACCATTTCCTTTCTGCCCCACTGACCTGTGGCACACAACATGCAAGCACTGGACTAGCTGAGCTTTCCCACGATCCGTCCATCCCCATAGGCGAGGCTGCAGAAATCACTCAAAAACCAAACTGAGCTCATCGATCTCATTTCTCCATCTTCATGCCTCGGTTTGGGCAGACAAAAGAATGAGGTGAA